GGGTTTTGTGGTAAATATATATTGATTTTTTAAGAAGGTGCCAAACTGTTTTCCAAAGTGGGTTTACCAGTCTACATTCCCAAGTGCAATGTATAATGGTTCCAGTTTTTCCACATCTTTGTCAATATTTGGTTTTGTCAATCCTTTTGAATTTAGACATTTTAGTATAATGGTATTTCATTGTGATTTAATTTGTGTTTTGCTAATGATTAATGATGTTGAGCATCTTTTCAGGTAGTTATTTGCTAATCAAATAACCTTGTTAAAGGGTCTATAAAAATCTTTTCTCCTTTTTAAAAGTTGGGTTTTTGTTTTCCTCCCTCTCTCCCTCCCTTCCTCCCTTTTTTTCTTTATTTTCTGAGATAGAGTCTCATTCTTTGACCTAGGCTGGAATGCAGTGGCACAATCATTGCTCACTGCAGACTTGAACTCCTGGGCTTAAATTATATATCCTGGGTACACATTTTACCAGAAACGTATTTTGCAAATATTTCCTCCCAGTGTATGACCTGCCTTTTTATTTTCCTAATGATGTCTTTTTAAGCAGGAAAGTGTCTAACTTGGATGGAGTCCAGTTAGTTTTTCTTATGTTTAATGCTTATTGTATCATAGAAAAGAGATCTGTATCTAACCCAAGATCACAACCATTTTCGTCTATTTTTTTTTCTAGAGCATTCCCCATTAGGTTTGTGACCTATTTTACTTAATTTTTGTGAATATTGTGAGATAAAGGGTCAAGAGATTGCATATATATATCCAAAGTGCCCTAGTCTAATTTGTTGAAAAAACTATCCTTTTACCTACTGCATTACCTTGGTTGTTCTTTGTCAAAAATCCATTGATAACATGATAAATGTCTGCTTCTGAACTCTCTAGTCCTTTCCATTGATCATATCTATCATTTAGCCAGTAACACAATGCCATGGTTACTGCAGCTTTATTGTAATTCTTGAAATTGGATTAGTCTTCCAACTTTGTTCCCGTTTTTGTAATTGTATTGGCCATTACAGTTTTTTAATTATTTCCATGTAAATTTTAGAATCAAATTTTCAGTATCTTAAAAAAAGCATGTCAAGATTTTTATTGTGATTGCTGAAACTGCACTGATCCTGATAGTAACCACTAGACACATGTGGCCATTTAAATACAAATGTAAAATAATGAAGTTGATTAAAATTAATGTTTTAATTCTTTAGTTTCTCTAACCTTAGTTCTAGTGCCATTAGCCACATGTAGCTAATGGTTATTATATTGGACCATATTGATATGAAACATTTCAGTCATTGTAGAAAGTTCTATTAGACCATGTAGCTGTGGGAAAAACATGAGTTACATTACCATCTTAACAGTATTGAGTCTCCCAATCAATAAAAATAGCTTCTCTCTCTCTCTTTGTTTAGATCTTCTTTAATTTCTCTTGACAGTGTTTTTGTAGTTTTCAGTGTACAGATATTACAAAGCACTTTTTCCTAAGTACTCTTTTTGATGCTATTTTGAATAGTGATTTAATTCATTTTTAATAGTTCTTTGTAAAGTATAGAAATATAATTGATTTTGTATATTGATCTTGTATCCCATGACATGCTAAACTTGTTTTTTAATTCTCCAACTTTTTCCTACATCACATATTGCCTATGAGTAAAGTCAGACTGACTTCTTCTTTTCTAGTCCATGTGACTTTCTGTCTTTTCCTTGGCTTAGGAAAGGCTAGGTGTGCTGCTATGATCTTCAGTATAATATTGAATAGAAATGATAACAGCAGACTTTGTTGCTGTGTTCTTGCCTTAGGAGGAAAGCATTTGGTCTGTCTGTTCAGAGAGACATTACTTAGTAGGTTTTTCATAAGTTTTCTTTATAAAGGTCAAGACCTCCCTTTCTCTTCCTATTTTGCTGGAAGTTTTTATCATGAATGAGGGATTGGATTTTTTTCATATACTTTTTATGCATTGATTGAGATAACAATATTACTTTCTTCTTTATTTTATGAATATGGTTTATTACATTAATTTATTTTCACAGGTTAAGCCAAGCTTGCATTTCTAGGATAAACCCCACTTGATCTCAGAAGTTAAACTAAACTTAACATTTCTGGGATAAACCCCACTTATCTTGTTTATGAGTTGCTGGATTTGATTTTCCAATCCTTTGTTAAGGATTTTGAGACTATATTCATTATGAATGTTCGTCTGTAGTACTTTTTTTTTTTTTTACATTGTCTTGGTCTGACTTTTATCAGGGTAAAATAGAATTAGTAAGGTTTCTTTCTTCATCTATATTCTGAAAGTCTTCATATAGGATTGTTATTATCCCTTTCTTAAAAATGATTCATAGAATTTACCAATGAAGCTGTCTTTGAACCCAGACTTTTCTTTGTGGAGAGATTTTAAATTATTAATCTTTTTTTTTTTTTTTGCTTGATATAGGTCTATTTAGACTTCATTTCTTCTCTGATCACTTTTGGTATCTTGTCTCTTTTTAAAAATATGTTCACTTCAACTAAGTTATCAAATTTGGTGACTTAAAGTTGTTCATAATATTCACTTATTCTCCTTTTTTTTTTTGAGTTGGAGTCTCACTCGATCGCCCAGACTGGATTGCAGTGGCCGCTCCCGGTCACCGCAGCCTCGACCTGCTGGGCTCCGGCGATCCTTCCGCCTCAGCCTTCCGAGTAGCCGGAATTACAGGCGTGCGCTACCACGCCTGGCTGATTTTTTGATTTATTGTAGAGATGAGGTCTTGCTGCCCGGGCGGGTCTCGAACTCGTGGGCTCAGGCAATCCACTCGCCTCAGCCTCACAAAGGCGCAGGATTACAGGCTGAGCCACCGAGCCCGGCTACTTATTCTTCTTTTAATTGATTTGGCTTCTGTACTAATATTTCTTATTTCATCCCTAATGTTTTCTTGATTTGTCTTGTTAAATATGTGTCAAATTTACATTTTTTCAAAGAAACAGCTGTTGGTTTAACTCATTTTCTTTATTGATATTTGTTTACTATATCATTTATTTTTCCTCTGCTCTTTATTATTTCTTTCTTAATACTTACTTTATTTTTGATTTGCTCATCTTTTCCTGACTTTTAAAGAAGTAATTTTGGTTATTGATTTTAAATGTTTAATTATAAAATAAGCCTTTAAAGCAATAAATTTTCTCCAAAGAACTGCTTCAATTGAATTCCATACATTTCATTCAAGATATTCTCTAATCTCCCGGTTGATTTCTTCTTTGATCCATAAGCTACATAGAACTATAATGTTTACTTTACATATATTTGGGTATTTCTTATATTTGTTTTTGTTATTTCTAAATTATGTTGTTATTTTTATTAAAAATACATTATAAGCCAAGTGTGGTGCTGTGTGCCTGTAGTCCCAGCTACTCAGGAGGCTGAGGCAAGAGGATCACTTGAACCCAAGAATTTGAGTCTAGCTTGAGCAACATAGTGAGACCTTGATTCTAAAGAAATAATAATAAAAATAAAACACATTATTCATTGTTCATTTTGTTATCTCTAATTTAATTATATTGTGGTCAGAGAACTTATTGTGTATGATTTTACTCTTTTTATATTTGAGTCTTACTGTATAGCCTGATTAATATTTCATATGTAATTGAAAAGAATGTGTTCTCTGCTGTTTTGGAGTAAAGTGTTTTTTTTTTTTATTTTAGTTAAGTTTAGTTGGTTGATAGAGGTCTTCTTACCAATTTTCTATTTAATTGTTTTATGAATTACTTACAGAGGAATATTGAACTCTTCAAGTATAATTGTTGAATTGTTTATTTTCATTTTATCAGTTTTGCTTCATGCATTTTTTGGACTCTGTTTTAGGTGGACATACATTTATAATTATTTGTTAATGTCTTGGCCTAATGTATATCCTCATAAAATATATCTCTTTTCTTTAGTACTGTTCCTTATGTAAAAATCTGTTTTGTCTTATATTAATATAGCTGCTCTAGTTCCCTTATCGTTAATAATTACATGATGGAACTTTTTCAATCTATTTTTGTCTTTTATCTTATCGTTTATCTTCTTTTTAATCCAGTCTGACAATCTCTGCCTCTTTATACATAACAAATCCTGATTATTACACCATTGTGGTTCCTCTATTAACTTTTTAGTTATATTTCTTTGGGGTTTTTTTTCCGTGTGTGTGTAATTGCACTAGAGATTACAATATAGATCATTTCATATGTTGTGATTTACTTCAAGTTAATACCAAGTTGATTTCAGTGGAATATATCAATTTTGCACTCATATTGCTCCATTTATTCTCCTCAACAATTGAAGCATCTGGGACTTTACTTACTTGTGAGTTAGCAAGTTAGCCTGCCCTAGTTTATTGGTTTCTGACAGAAGATATGAGATTCCTGGGTCAGAGATAAGGGAGAAATTAGTACTAATAGCAATAGCATTAACCAGAGCATCATCGTCTTGTACCAATTCCTCAAGCCATAATTCTGACAGAGTGACAAAAAAGCGGGCAAAATATATTTCGGTTTACTAGAGGAACATTCATGAATTGTGTCAACATGATACTAGTACCATGGGTGTTCTGAAAAGTAAAAATTTCATGATCAAATAAGTATGATAAATTGTACAACTATATCTATCTTGTGTATATCCCTAGTATACATTAGTATATAAAAGCTCTCAGAAATCTTGCCACAAAGAAAAGCCTCTTAATTTTTTTTGAAGTGAGAGTTCCCAAAATTTCTTGACCACAGAATTATCTTTTCTTTTATACATCATAATAACCTGTAGAAGTAGTGTTCCACATTACTTGCTCTGGCAAATATACTGCTCTAGTAAACAATAGGAATGAAATGTAGGTGGCTTATTTTTAAATCATTACTAATAAATATAGCATTTATGAAATAAAAATGAAATAATTATCATCCTTCCCCATTTCTTTGAAAATACTTAATGTTCTTCTGTTCCTTAAATGGTTAAAGTCAGGTACACAACATGTTTACCTGTGCACTCTGTTTTCATTTGCAGGGGATGTGATCAACCTTGGTGACAGACAGCTCACCGTGATGCACATGCCAGGTCACTCCAGGGGCAGTATTTGCTTACATGACAAAGACCGGAAGATTCTCTTCAGTGGAGATGTTGTGTATGATGGATCACTGATTGACTGGCTCCCATACAGCAGGATAAGTGACTATGTTGGGACCTGTGAACGTCTGATAGAATTAGTGGACAGAGGTCTGGTAGAGAAGGTACTTCCTGGCCACTTCAATACCTTTGGTGCCGAAAGGCTTTTCCGATTGGCTTCTAACTATATTTCAAAAGCTGGGATATGTCACAAAGTTTCTACTTTTGCCATGCGATCTCTTGCCAGTTTAGCTCTACGTGTCACAAATTCTAGGACCTCACCCTAGGATAGATCCACACAGGTCATCTGTTTTGATTAATTACATAAATTAATAAAATTCATTCTGTGCTGTTTAAATGATTAATAGTGAGCATTTCAAGAAGTGCTTTTATACCACTATTGTATATTAGAGAAAAGATTGAGAATGAATAAGCCAAAAAAGAAAATTCTGAGTTTATTTTCTTTCTTCCAAGTAGTAAATTATTTAAATAAGCTTATAATTTGCCAAAGCTGTCATCTTATTTGCTGTAGAAATGACATAGAAGTATATGGGGAAGCAAGGAGGTATTTTACAGCCAGAGAAAAAACTGGCTCTGCCTCCTGTTTGTCTTACTTTATTTCCTAGATGACCTAGGAAAAAGGCATATAGAGTTTTATGTTTATACTCCAAATTTGATATTTTGTGTATATTATTTAAAGATAAAGGTTCTTGGGTTTAAAATATACTAGAACTGAATACAAATATAAAAACTAACATTTAGAATGACAGCTAAAGCATTCCATCGTTATGGTTCTGGATTTTTTATGCTTCTTTTTATTTATGTATTCTTTATTACTTATGTAATTATAGCATATATGAAATGGTATGTAATTTAACTTATGAAAAGTACAATGAATTTTGTTTTGTTGCAAAGCTTTAAATATAAATTGCAGAGTGCTTCAGTAAAAAGCTACTATATATTGTTGTTTGTTATTATGTAAGTAATATTTTCAATCATGAAAGTGAAATTCAGATTCTGTAATCTAACTACAAATTGTCAGATTTCTTAAAAGGACACTGTCAGGCAAATTTGAAAATATACACTTTGAGAATAATTTTTTATTATATCCTATTTTAATATTAACAGCTATTATAAACAGAATTTTTCTTGTTAAATAGCAACTTCAGTATTGTTTTATGTTTTACAGTATCAAAACAACAATGAAGATCTACAACATCCTGATATAAATTATTCTTTTACTTAACATGCATATGTACTACAGAAAGGTTTTTAATTAATTACAAAATATGCATTAGATACTGACTTAGGGTGAATTGCTCTTTTTTATCCTGATTCACAACACCTATTCCTGTTCAGTATTCTTTGTCTTCAGTAGAGAAGTAAGTCTATGTTCGTAAAGTCATAAGAAAGGTTTTACCACTATGTAGTAAAATGTTTTGGTTTGGTGCTGTTAATTTATTAAAAAGTCTTTTCACAAAGGTTTTTCAAACAGTTCTTTTCACTGCCTTTTAATCTTGACATGTCTGAAACCAAACTGAGATAGCTTTGGAAATCAGATTTTTTAATATTTGGGAGATCCAGCAATTTTGATTTCTGAAAAAATTTTGAAACTTTTTCCTACAAACACCCAGGTTCTTTATTTTTTTAAGTTCATTCAACACACACACACACACACACACGTACATAATCCCACATACATACACACACAGTCACATACATAAATGCCCAGCACTGCGCTAAACACTGTGGAAGCTAAAAAGTCAAAGAGACAACATTACAGCTAGATGTTGAAAGCACACGAAACATAAATAATACTATATGCAAGTTGAAGTTAATGTAAATTATACATGAATGTAAGGGTTATAAATAGAAAGGCATGAAGTTTGGTTAGAAAATGTTTCCTGGTGGAGGGGATTTTGAGTTAGATTTGGGAGAATGATTTGTTCGATGGTCAGTGTAAAAAACAAAAACAATCCAAGAATAGGGACGTAAGCATTGCTGTCTAGAATAGTCTGTTCCTTGTGACAATATAAATTTAATTTTCAGGAATCCCATATCTGCCAAACACCATGTATTTAGCATGAGAAAGATGGACTTGTGATTGTGTATATGTCATCCTTAATGAGACATGAGCTGAACTGCCACATGCCACCAAATAAACCTTTACTTAGAATCAGAAAAGCCATGATGGATTCAAATAGAGCGTATCATGGGAGTTTCTCTAAGAGGATCATTCAAGGCAGTAGGTCTGTTTCAACTGAGTGTGACATTGAGACTATACATTTGGTTCAGGGCAACTACAATCACTTAATAAGCCTTAAATATAGCCATTATTTTTATATCAGTAGCACAAAAGAAAACCAAAAGTCCTTAACCATTGATCATTTCATCATACTTTAGGTTTTTTTTTAAATCAGGGTATAGTAGACACCACATTTTATCACGAAATATATAAACCTGCTGAAGGATTTCCTTATTTATAAAAAGCGTGATTTTTAAAAACACATTGATATTATTTTTTAATTTCCCAATTTTTTTTCAGTTTTTCAAATTGTACTACAGCATAAGACTGTGATATTTTGCTGTTGCTTCAATGTGAATAAGTTGGGGAAGGATGTCATTTACTGAGTGCCCATGCTGTGCATTTTAAATATGCATTACTTAATTTAACCTTAGCCCCAGCACCAAGAGGTAGTTGACCAGCCTCAAACAACACAACTTTCGACAAAGCTGGTAACTGAACATAGGTCTTTCTACCCCAAACTGCTCTTTCTCTTATACCTGAACAAGAACATACAATTGGCAAGGTGTATTTTTACTTTCCAAGATGCCACATGTGCCACGATAAATCAAATGATGTTAAAGTATAATAGTAACATATCTTTTAAAGGCTTTCAAAACATATATTTTCACCCTGACAGTGACCCTTGTAACTTATGATTTTTGGAAATAATTAGTATGTAAGTATAATTCAAAGTTGTCAAAGTGTAAGACACTTAGAAGTAATTTTTATTATTTATATTGTTAATGCTTACTATTTGGAAATTCATTTCCCTTACTGGATGTTTCCTTTTAACTGAGAAGCCTAAAACAAACAAAAACCCTATGTGTTATCCTGATATAGTTGAATAAATGACTGTGTATTTGTTCTTATATGGATAGTAATATGAATGTGACATGCACAAATTGTCCTCTGATAATTTTCAGATAAGTGTAAGTAAACATTTGTGTAATAAATATTAAAGTGGACATTTTATTTCAATTTATAATTGATATTTTTATAACAGCAAATTTCTATTTAATTTCTTGAAGTACAGTTTTGAAAAGCTCACTGTATATAAGATGCCAAATTCATGGGAAACAACAGAGAACTCATAAGCAGAAAAATACCCATAAAAAACTTTAGTAGTTAATATATGGCATTTCAATCAATGGGTAAAAGATGGATTATTCAATAAATGTTACAGCTATTGATATGGGAAAAATGGCCCCTGCCATTATAAAAATAAATTCCAAATGGGTTGAAGACATATATGTGAAAACCAGAATCATACATCTATTCAAAGAAAATTTAAATCATGTTTAACACTTTAGGATAGGGAAAATCTGCTTTCTATAGACACAAAAAAGTAAAATTACTTCAAAATTTGAAATGTCTCAGAGTTTAGACAACATAAAGTTAAAAAGAGAGATTAGAATAAATATTCACAATTTTTCTAACAAAAAAATTTTTAGCAAGTATAAAGAATGCCTAAAAATTAATAAGAAAAACATAGACTATTGTAAGGGAGGAAAGACCGTTCTACCCTCTTGAGTTCTGTGACTGGGCCTGGATAATTAAATTGACCAAAGACAGATTAACAGGAGAAAAGCAAACAAAATTTATTTGATGTTAATATTTTTATATGTACACAGAAGCCTTCATATATAAGAAATAAAGACCCACAGATGAAGATGGACCCGATATCCCATTTTAACAAAGAATGATACATTGTGGAGACATTACAAGAAAGGAAAAAGGAGTTTTGGCTAGGAGAGGTAAGTTGACTAGAAAATATGTGGAAGATATGGGGTTATTTTAGGAGGGTTTTTTTTTTTTTTAAATACAGGCTCATCTTGGCATTTACTCCCCATCTTCAGTGATAAGAACAGTCTCTTTGTGGGTATGGTGAAGGAGAGCAGCTCTCTCATGGGAAATCTCATGCCTGGCTTTTTGGTTAAAAGGGAGTCAGAGAGGCCTTCCTGCATCTGCTTTTCCTCAGTTGCCTTCAGCCCCAAATAACCAATATGCCAAAGTGACATCTTTTGGGATAGCATGTTCTTCTTTTACTACCTATTATAAAAATGAGTGAACTATATGAGCAGTTTACTCATAGAAACGGAAACACAAAGAGCCACTAAACATATCAAAATATGTGGAACCTCACTAATAATTAGGGAAATGCAAATGAAAACAATGAGATAGCTTAACCAGACTGGGAAATTTTGAAAACACGAAGTACTGGTAAGGGTAAGTGGATATTTCATGTTGTGCTGCTAGGAGTGTAAAGTGTCCCAGTCATTTGGAGAGACAAGTTTGGGGTGTGATTTGGCACGTTTAGACTTTGGATGAAGAATGGCAGTTTGAAGATGCCCTTTGCTCTCTGCTCATTTCTGTCAGAAAATGACAGAAAAGACTTTTTTTTTTTCTCCGAATGGCATAAACTCACAAGAACAACAAGAATGGCAAAGAAGACAACAGCAGCAATGTTTCGGGACACTGAAAAGCTGCTGGGTGAATGAAAACTAATGTGACGAACCCAAGAGTTGAAACCTAGGCCAGGAATGAAGAAAGCCAAAAAGCAATCTTATTACAGCACAAAACCCCCCCAAAGGCACTTAGAAATGGATAGTACTAGGTAACCCTAGAAGTGGGGGTGAAGATACTTTTGATTCAAAGCCTGTTTACAGTTTAGACCACCAAATTCCTCCCTAACTCTACACTGTTAAGCAATTTTCTCTTCCTCATTTGAGGGAAGATTGGAGGCTAATTTAGACTTACCACGAAGTGAAGCAAGCTGTAGTTTCAGGGCCCTGCACTGGCTGATTTCCAAGGCCCTGGGTGAGAGGCCTGAGATAAGAATTCAAGCAGTTTTTGTTTTTGTTTGTTTTTATCTTTAATTTGCTAAAGTGAGTTATTTTTGTATTTGTTCTCTGAAAGCCCCCCAGACTGCATAAGCTTCAGGCCCCACAAAACTGGGATCTGCCCCTGAGTTAAGTATCCTGTGGGGAAGATGAAATAATAGAGGATCGATATTTTGAGGAGACCGAGTCTTGTTAAGGCTTGGGTCCTGTATTTAAAAAGAGAGAGAAAAGCCTGACGTGGTGACTCGTGCCTGAAATCTCAGTCTCCTGGGAGGCCGAGGCAGGATTGCTTGAACTCAGGAGTTCTAGACCAACCTAGGCAACCTAGAGAGACCTCATTTCTCCAAAATTTAAAAAAATTAGCTAGGCATGCTGGTGTGTGTCTGTTTGTCTCAGCTACTCGAGAGGTTGAGGCAGAAGGATCACCTGAGCCCAGGAGGTCAAGGCTGTGGTGAGCCATGATTGTGCCACTGCACTCCAGCCTGGGCGACTCAAAAAAGAGAGCTTTGGCAAAGAGATAAATGGAGTGAAAGTTTGCATGCTAAAAGTTAAGACACCGCACCCCTCCAGATTTCCCCGATTTAGCTCAAAGAATGCTGGTGGGGCAGATTATACCCTTGCAGCGGAAGATTGAAAGAGGCTTTTCTCAGAAATTTGATCCCTAAGAGAAAAGACCTAATGGTATTGAATCTGGGGTCCCAAGGAAGGAACCCAGTGAGATCCCCCTACAAGGCAGCCCAAAGTTCCTAAATCTTCCTTTCTTGCTACTTCCCCCCACAGAACTCTAACACTTCTACAAGTTTAAACATATATACCAAAGCCAACAGCTCTTAGAAAAACCAAAAGAATAAATGGAAAAGCCACTAAAAGCATTTTGAAACTAAAGTAATAGGATATCAAATTAACATTAACAATCTAGGCTGGCCAGGCTTGGTAGCTCAGTCTATAATTCCAGCACTTTGGGAAGCCGAAGCAAGTGGATTCCCTGAGCCCAAGGGTTTGAGACCAACCCAGGCAACTTGGCGAGACCTCATCTCTACAATAAATCAAAAAATTAGCTGGGTGCGTAAACTTGGAAGGCTGAGGTAGACGGATTGCTGGAGCCCAGCAGGTCGACACTGGGGTGGACGCTGGGGTGGCCGTGAGCGTGTCACTGAGCTCCAGCCTGGGCAATGGAGTGAGACTCCGACTCAAAACAAAAACAAAAAAGCAATCTAGGCTTCATTTATACAAACAAGAAGGAGTTCAACACTATAATTTATAATATATATAATACAGCACATATTTATAATAAGTAATTTTTAAAATACCTAGGCACACATAGTAAAAAATACTCAAAACATATATGAGGAAAACCGTGTTAA